CAAGTCGATTACATATTTATTGGGTTATAGCATGCTCTTAACCTAAGTTTATGGTATACTTTATTACGGTTCTCTCAGTCCTTCTTGGTGACTGCGTAATATTCCATTGTGTATATGTACCACATTTTTTTGTTAAATCCAGTCTGGTTTCGATGACCCAGCAATTCCCCTTCTGGGAATATACCCGGAGAAACTTAAATCACTCCATGAAAAACATACCTGTGCACACATACTTATTGCAGCACTATTCACAATAGCAAAAACAGGATATCTCCTCTTAATGGAGACTCACTGGCAGTGACTACATAACACCAGCATAGCACCATTTGGCTGGGCTAGCTTCTGGTGACTTCAGAGGGGAAAACGATTTGAACACAAGCCAGTCCAAGGCTGCCATTTTAAACCTGTGTTTTCTCATGTGCTAATGGCCTCAACTGAGCAGCCACCCAGACCAACTCCAAAAGAGGCAGTAGGGAGAAATAACACCCTCTGCTACCTCTCCTCCACCAGCTCAGTCTCTTGGCTGACGCTTGTGGTTGGCTGGGCTCTTCTGGAAGCCAGAAGGCAAGAAAGCTCAGCTCTGTATACTAGGTCATGCAAACCTGTGTTCTGAACTGTGGAACAGGGTGGAGAGAGACACAGAGCCAACTGGGATGGCAGAAGGAACTTATTCAGCAAAAGAGCTGTCTCCAAAACCAGTATTCCACTGTCCTCTTACCTGAGGCTCATTTTCAGCTGTCTTCACATTTTCAGCTGTCTTCCCAGCCCTGCTGCATTGATGTCTCATAGGAAATGAAAGACATCCCAGTGTCCACACCAAGCTAGCTGCCTTCCCAGAGTCCCTCGATTTGAACCATGATATTGTAGTTCTCCTTATGATCATTCTGGCCCTGTTTCATTACACCCTATCATTGGTCAGATCTTCACAGTCCTTTGAAATGTCTTATTTCCAGACTTGGGTTTCTGTTGCTGTCTAAACCCCATACTCAGGTGATTACAATGGTATTTCACCTGTCTCACTGTCTGTGGGATCTTCCCCGGGCAATCCTCATGTCACTGTGATTCCGGATACTCTTCCTGGTCCTCCACCGTCCGCTGTCACTCTTCTTTAAGTCGCTTCCCTTGAATGATGAAGGAAGGCCCCAATCAACCAGGCCCTACACTACCTTCTTATTCTCCACCCAGTGCTTTCTTTCATGCCTCTAGGACCCACCACACACACTCTCTCTCTTTTAATTCCACCCTGAATGTATCACGTTCACTTCTCTCTGTGACTTTTCTCTTAATGTCTAACCTGTGGCCATGATGTCCAGCATTCTCTGTGACCATTCAGATCTTTTCCACATCGTAAGGTCTTGGGATCTTTAGGTTTCGTGTGTTTTACCTGTCTCATGAATCAAACCTGTTTACAGCAGGCCACTCTGATGTCCCTGCCTCTGAATTTCTTTAGTATGAAGGGTCTCTTCCTTTCCTTTTGATATATATTCCTGTGAACTCGGGGATGAGAGCCGTCAAAAGGAGTCTAAGTTACACTCTTGCTTGAGGGAGAAATATATTCAAAGCAGATTGAATTGTTGGTAGTTGCCCTGAGGAATGTACTCAGACATGCTAGCATTGGTGGTGAAGGGGCTCTGGGAAGGATGGCTGTGCCTGGATGTCTGGGAAAAGAGCAAGATAGACAAACCCGGGGAGGAAAGGAGTGTGCAGAAGCTGGAGGCCTGTTCCTACAAGAGAGCACAGAAGTGGAGGAGGAAAGCTGTTCAAAAACAAATGCCCCCAACAAAGTTTCAGTTAAACAGGAGGGAGAAATTCTGGTGATCTCTTGAGCAGCACAGTGACCATAGTCAGCAACAATGTATTATATATCTCAACATTGCTAAAAGAGTGAATTTTTTTTTAAAGGCAGGGTTTTACTCTGTCACCCAGAGTGCCGTGGCACTATCATGGATCACTGCAGCCTCGATCTCTTGAGCTCAAGCAATTCTCCTGCCTCAGCCTCCTGAGTAGGTGGGACTATAGGCACACACCAAAATTCCTGGCTTTTTTTTTTTTTTTTGTAGAGATGGAGTCTCGCTCTGTTGCCCAGGCTGATCTCAAACTCCTTGGCTTAAGCAATTCTCCTACTTCAGCCTCCTAAAGTGTTGGGATTACAGGCATAAGCCACCATGCCTGACTAACACAGTGAATTTTAAGTGTATTCACACAAAGAAATAAGTATGTGTGGTGATAGATATGTTAATTAGCCTGATTTGATCATTCTACAATGAACACATGTATTGAAATTTAGCTTTGTACCCCATACATATATACAATGATCATTTGTCAATTAAAAATAAAAATAGATAATAGACAGGCTCGGTGACTCAAACTTGTAATCCCAGCACTTTGGGAGGTCAAGGAGAGAGGATTGCCTGAATCCAGGGGTTTGAGACCAGCCTGGGCAACTTGGTGAGACTTTGTCTCTACAATAAATGAAAAAATTACCTGGGTGTGGTGGTGTGCCCTTGTAGTTCCAGCTACCTGGAAGGCTGAGGTGGAAGGATTGCCTGAGCCCAGCAGGTAAAGGCTGCAGTGGTTGTGAGTGTGCCACTGTACTCCAGCCTGAGCAACAGAGTGAGACTCTGACTAAATAAATAAATAAATAAATAATAGTAAATAATTTTTGAAAGAGGACTAAGCCCCTCCCCTCACATAAGCAATAAATTATTGAAACAAGGATATACACAGAAACTTGAATATCTCTCTAGTTTACAAGGCCACTACTGCATATGCAAAGAAAAACCTCAGTGTACATAGGTCTAATAGGACAAATACATGTGCCTAAAAAAAAAAAAAAAAATTCTGGGATTGTTTTTATTGCTAAGCTGAGGGAAAGTAATTTAATCCAAGAGCTCCTAGTTATTAAATATTTCTAAGTCGGGCTCTAATTGCTTCTGAGTATCAGTAGATTTTCATTGGTATCAGAGGGAGAAAACCAGGAGATCTAAATGGAGGAACAGCTAGTGCTTTAATTTGTCCACATTGTCCATCACTGTTGGAAAACCCAAAGAGACCATGATGCTAAGAAGAATAATTAACCAAACCATTGAAACTTTACTTGACAAACCCCTTGAATGCAGAGATACTTTGTAATGGCATCAAATTCAAAGAGTGATATAAATATTTGTGATTATAAGTCAAATCTTTATGCTTATTTAATCCAAGTCACAAATCCAAATAAACACATTTTTTTACATTCACTGTTTATTTGCTTCCTAACTTTGATTTTGACATATTAGCAACTAATTAGTTAACACCAGCTCCAGAAACAGATGAACATCTAAGCCTCCACGGCTCCTTACAATAGTTTTTTTTCCTTGCCCAAGTAAGGTCTGACATCAGTGTCTCTGATTGGCTGGCTGCTCCCCACGTGATCAGTGCCTGGCACAGTCCTTCCCCTGTGGCTCCCCTCTTCTCTAGGGTTTTGGAAACATCTTCATTCCACTAGAGGAGGGGTGTCCAACCTTTTGGCTTTCCTGGACCACACGGAGTAAAAAGGAATTGTCTTGGGCCACACATACGTTATATAACATAGTAAGTACATATATATAATAAGACTTCTTTTTTGTTGTATTTTTATTGTAAAGTTTAGAAAAACGAGAATATAAAACTAGTGGGAAATTTGAGCTTGTTTTTGTAAAGCTTGTTTTTGTAAAACTAATCTATCAATGTCTGGTTCCATGGAAGTGTTGGCAATTCTTATGAGTTCTCAAGGTGCTCGTCAGAAACGCTTGCTTGAATTTTGCTCTTCATGGGCTTCA